GAAGTAATGTTGTAAATTTTTCCAAAATATAAAACCTGAAAGTTATCCAAAATCGTTAAGGGCTCCATCCCTATCATGGTCGCAAAGAATGAAAATTCGTTTCAAAGCTCTCACACATCTTGGTCTTAAAGTTTGAGCTTCCTGATCAAACAGTGGAGCAGTTGGGTGCAGAACAGTCTTTTGTCCGTAGTAGAAAACTTCAGAAACCTGCAAGTAGTCGTCGGCTTCAGGTTGTTGGAGATAATGGCATAAGATCTACACTTTAGCAGTACATCCAGTCTTTCAATCAAAGACATGATAACATAAATGCTCGAACTCCAAAAAATCATATAAAACTCAACATATCTTGATGACTACTTCCCATTCCAAAAGAAAGTATCGTTTGAACTTTGAAATGATGATTTTAGTAAAGAAATGAAGCTTTTATGGGCATGTAGTATAATGCGAGGAATGGAAATTGGCAGTTAATACATGGTATCCCATAAATAGTTTGAAAAACTGAAATCACATTTACCTGAATTAGTTTGTACGCAGAGCACTCAATACATGTTTCGATCTCCCTGAATTGTTGCATTATGGGCAACATAACCTGCTCCAAACTAATAGCTTGTTGATCATCCCTCATGTCAAGCATACAACTCACAACAATGACAGGGGCCTTGACCTGCCACATAAGATACGTAAAGCCATTATCATGATGGAAAACATTTAACACAATTACACCATGGATAGTAGCATGATCTTTCCTCAGCGTAGCCCCACTGACTTAACTCATAGGACGAGGCACCATTGCTAACAAAGGGGATAGGGCCGGATGAATTTCCTTGTGAATTCCCACATATGCCCTCATGTCAAAAATTAGAGCAGCCCTAGCCCCACCTGCCGCAACATTACACCTTAAATTCTAAAATAGCTATTTTGTAAAGTTATACTTATAAATCTTAGCCTCATCCTTCCCATCCGAAGTCTAAACAGAGCTTGAATAGAATTTATCATTTAAAATTGAAATGAGTTTAATTCATAAATATTTCTTTAAAGAAGCATTATAAAATTTTGCCAAGGCAATGAAAGGAAAACCCGGGGGCAGACTATGCCTTATGGGCTTACGCCTAGAATCAATAAATAAAATTATTAAAATATGGTAAAAGATATTCTCCATAAAATTCATCTTATTTGTGCAATGACATTATATCTTGAAGACTTAAAGTAATAAAAAAAAAATATACACAATATTGTTCACAAAAAAAACTTAAAGCAATATCAGATAAAATAATAAGATGTACTTGTACGTGTCATGCCAAAATAAATAATCACTTTTAGATAACACAAGTCAAAAAAAATCATCATACAAATTAAGTTAAATCGTTTTGCTTTTATTAAGATAATACAGATTTTAAATTTTTAATCCTCTTAAATTGAAAACTGTTTTGATTTAGTACACCATTTGTCAATATGTTAGTTGTTATTAACAATTAATTTCACCAAAGCGTTCAGCATAAACCAGCATTGAAAACAACTTAATGGGCCGAAGCACAACTCGCAAAATGCTACTCCCTCCATCCTAAAATTATCTTCCCGTTCACTACTTACTAGTCAAACTCTATCCACTATGTTAGCTTCTTTTCGTTACTATTTTTTATTAAAAAAATATAATCATGTCACCTATAGTTATAATCATGTCACCTCTAGTTTCATAGATCTTTTAGTTTTAAAATATGTAAATTTTATTTTTAAATTCCACACCGGTATTCGTAAAAACTAAATTAAAAATAACTTAGGTCAAACATCATAAAATGCAATGGGAAGTTGGTTTTAGGGCAGAGGGAGTATTAAATAAAACCTAGCCACCCTTCATTTCTAAAAACCTCCTACAAATGTGCAACTTTTTCTCCTTGGCATCACTATTTCCTCT